CTTTTTTACATTGCTTCATCGACCGCTTTATAAGCTTAGAGAAGCAAGTATTTCCAATTTCTTGAGAATTGTTTTCTGTAGAAAAGAATTTGACTCCAATTGGCTATTGCAAATGTTTCACCCTTTGTCCTTTATGCATAGTTGTTGATATTTTTTTTCTTTAGTTTATTTGGATTTTTGGACACAAAGATTAGTGATTGCAATTTTTAAATTATTAGAGGACAGAGAATGTAACTTAACTAGAGGTAGTTTTATTAGCTTTGGATTCTTATTTCTACAACTTGATTTCACTGATGTTTCCCAGATACTAAATTGACTTGCTTAACAAAGTTGGTACTAGATTTTAAGGATTGAATTCTTCAGAGAAACGGCACAGACTACTATAATTCAATTATTTAATTATTTAGTGCTGCTTGATAGCTACTTTCCATAATTAGCACAGGCAAAGAAACCTTTTCGAAGTGAAAATTTCCCCATATTGGTTCACTACTTTAAAGTTTCCCTCTATTATGCACTCCTCCTGATTTTGTGTGCTAAATTCTCATAGGATGAGCAGTTAAACTTGATGGTTGCAAGAGGCACAGCTTCTTTATACGGTGTAGCTTCGTATGGTTGAACTGGTCTTGCTGAGGGTGTTCTATTTTGCAAACATAATAACGTTTTATCTTTAGGATTAGTGAATTATAGGAAAATGGGATGAACAAGAAACCGATTTAAAAGAAACCCAGGTTCAAGTTGCGGTTTTGAGAATATACAGACAACTCCACTTGCTTATTTGAGGCGCTGAAGTAATTGTAGAAAACAGATCTTTTTTGTTCATCAGACATGCGGATGACTAATCTGCCTTTTGGAGTTCAAGTCAATTAATGTGTCGTAGTGAATGGTCTATGCATCTTTAAGTGTATCTCCTGTTTGTTAAAACAATACACAACTGATGCATGGAAAGCATGGTGGGTTGGGGAACAATTCTCATTGCTGAGGCAGGGTAGAGACAATGGAGGTGATCTCTGCCTTAACCTGCTGCATGCGGCCATCTCTTTTGATAATATATTATCCTTGTCGTGCATTGACTTTGAATGCTTTAATTGGAAGCTCTGGTAGTTTTTTTTTTTTTTTTTTATGTGCTGGTGGAGTATAGAGTGAGTGAGGACTGCAACGAGAGACTTTAAGGTATGAGGAACCCGTCCACTTCCATCATTGGACTAATCATCATATCAACATTTGCTTTTGGATGGATATAGGTCCCTTCTGAGATTTGAATTTCTAATATGACCACCTTAATTTCACCTGTTATTCTAATTGAGAGTGGTTAGTCATTCTTGTACCCTCTCATCTCAATGTGTCAAAGCCATTTGGCATATTCTTTTTATCTTTCCTGTTGTGCAAAGATTCCTACCATGAGATGGCACATTAGGTCATGACTCCTGGAATTATGTTAGATCAGATCGTAAGTCAAAATGAGGGAAAATCGACAAATAGCTCATTGTATTATGATCAGGCAATAAATCATAATGAGATTTCAAGCATGAATAGTTAAATTTTCTTGATGGTGACAATTGTGTGGTCTGTACACATTTTTATCTGCTGTATCAACTAGATTAAATACATTACATTTGTCGCATCTATTAACTTGTGCTTTATTAATGAAGGCCTTGTATTTTTTTCTCCTTTTATATATGTAGGCTTCATATATCCTTTATCTTAGATGCAAAGAGATCGGAAGAGACATGCTTGAGGACATATACGAAGGAGCTGACGCGACAACCTAATGAGCAGGGGCCGGTTGATATATGTATCCCGTTGAAGGAAGATTTTATTGGCAAGGACTTAAATTTCGTTTCTTCAAGGTCAGATGATGAAGATGGTGGTAACTTCTCAAATGAAGATAAGCAGCACGATGATGATTGTAATCGAGATGAAAAATCAGGCCAAAACATGCACATTGATGCAGAATGGCTTAAAAGAGACATGGAAGAGCGGGACAAAATTCTGACGAATAAAGCCAATTACACAAAAAAGGGTAAAAGAAAGAAAGTTGCTAGTCTGGTTCTGGAGACTAGTAATATGAGAATTTTCATGAAAACATGGAAGGAAGCGTGTCAAGCATGGTCTATTCCCGAGGTAAGTTCATGGTTTTCATTCCTTGACATGATTGATGCCATTAAGTAAAGAACTTCCATTTAAAATCCATTCATGCTACTCTTTTACATCGAAAATAGCTTAACTTGCGTGATTGTTCTCTATCATGCTCAACTGCCAGTACCATTGGGTTACAAATGGGATTAGCTGTCGAACTTTCTGGATAGTAGGGTCTTTTGTCTCTTTGATGTCTGTGGTAATAGTTGAAACTATGTATACTTTCGGTTGCCTTAATAGCTAGGTTGTAATATGGTTTTTATGGCTATAGTGGAATACTACTGTAATAGCTATTATGTTGTTCGGTTTTGGTAATGAAATGGTTATTATTTTGTTTAGGTTGACACAATAGTAGTAAAGGGATAGAGATAAAAGATCTAAATTGCCTTTACTCTATGATATAATAACAGTTAAATGATAGTCTTTTTATTATGCATAATACATAATTATGTATCATTGAACTATACTATTAGTTATGTCTTATATTTCATTTAATATCTGAATAATTATTGCAATATCATACAAGAAATAGAGTTACATTACTTTCTAAAAAATTGTATGTTGTTATATATGATGTATTAGAGTTAAATATGGATGTAATGTTTAATTATTATATTTTGCATGATTTCAGAGTAAATTATGAAATTTTGTATAATTCATACATGATTTTTAATTAAGTAATTAAATCTTATTCTAATTTTACCATGAATAAGTTAGATATGTAATATAACATTATGTGCTATAAGCAATGTTGTTGAATCGAGATTCGAATCGTGAATCGTAAAGCTCATTTTCTGAATAATGAATTAAATCAAATCGTAAATCATAAAATTCAGTAAAACCTTTAGAATAACTAAAAAAGAGGGATGTCTTACTGAAGCCCACGTATTAGTTGCCAAAATATAGAAAAAAATTGTAAAAATGACATCTGACCATATAATCTTCAAAGAAATATCACGCGATTGCATAAGATGAACCCAAATGACCGATGTAAGAAATTCAAATGACACCTCTGTCAATGAAAGTGTGTTATGTAAATATTTGCAATATTAAATGTGTATATAGAATAGTTGTTGAATCGAGACATGCATTGTGAATCGAAATCATAAATTAGTATTTTGTGTCATAGACATTCATGAGTTATATAAAAAATATTTCTAGATGTAAAATTTTGACTTAGATTTATGATCTTGGAAATAAAAATCTTAATTTTGAGTGGATATGATGATCCCTATGCATAAAAAGATATGATTTTCAATTGTTTTATTAACATAAAGACTACATTTAAATATAAATCACCATTCGTTATATGTCATTTCATTTATCATTGCATTGCGAAGTGCAAAATTTTATTGTAATTATTCTATATCTATGAAAATTCAGCATATGTAGTAAAACTTGACAAAGTTACATCATTTTGATGGGTAAATGTATAAAAATCTGACTCGATAGATGTGTGTTGAATCGTAGATTCGTTAGTGAATCGATAGATTTGCTTACAAGTTAGGTGATTAGCTATATACCTAATCGATGCCTATCCTAGGGCATCTAATCAAATCAAACCTTATGGTACGAAACGAGAACCGTACGATTCGGATAACTATGATATAAAGAATAGTGCCAAAACTTTTGGGGCCCAACAATTACAAATATATAGTCTGATTGAGTCGTGTTTAATTGTATCAAATCATAAGATTCACTTGCAATTCTGATGCATTTCTGATTCATAGCCACAAAATGAATCGCTTTGTATGTGAATCTAATTGAATCGAACAATTCGATTCGTGAATTGTACGATTTTAACAATAATGGTGTTAAGATACTATATTTATATTCATATGACAATAATTATAGCATTTATTTATTGCTCAATTTACCCATCATTAGTATAGTGTGTAATTATTTTAATGCATGTTAGATCACTTTATATAAAAAAATCATCATTATTAGTATAATCATCATTAATACTAGTAATGATATTATAGTTGGAGTAGTTGTGTAAGAAAGTTTTTAATTATTAATACGAGTAAATTGAGAGAAAAGAGAGCTGGGCACTTATGGAATGACTGTTATGGCTTTGGTTGTAACAGAGCAAACAATATAAATATGTACTAAACTTGTAATATAATAGCCAATACTGTGCCTGAACGCTTTTTATCTGATTTAGTCATATTAAAGCAATTTGACTGCCTTGGCATTCATATTATAGGATACTTGGCACTTAAACCCTATTAAAGGGTATAATGGTCTTTGGGATTTTGATGTGTATATATACCGTATTTTCTGATCAATAAAAAATACATCATTATTCTACTTACATGGTATCAGAGCCTAAACCCTAAAATTACCGTCGTCCACCACCAAACACCGTAGAACCCAAGACCGGCAACCTCATACAAGACCGGCGACCTCATCCCGGCGTCCCGGCGAAGCGCCGGCGACCCGGCGAAGCGCCGGTGAACCAGATCTGAGGTCGCCCAGGCCCCGCGTAGCGCCGGCGAACCAGATCTGAGGTCGCCCAGGCCCGGCGAAGCGCCGGCGAGCCAGATCTGAGGTCGCCCAGGCCCGGCGAAGCGCCGGCGAGCCAGACCTGAGGTCGCCCAGGCCCGGCGAAGCCATTTCCGGCGCCGATTTAAGTCCTCCAGGCGTCGATCGAAGGTTTCCAGGTCAGGCGACCCACTTCGACGTCTTCTGACGTCACTAAGTGAGGAGCGACCCCTTCTGATGGCTGCTGATTGAAGAGGAATCGAAAAAGAAGAAGAAGAAGAAGAAGAAGAAGGAGGAGGAGGAGGTGAATGTGTTCTAAAGTTTGACTTAGTTGCTGATATGCTTGCGGGAAGGGAGATTATCGCTGTGTATGTTGGTTTGGATGATTGGATGTGATGTTGGTTTGGCTAATTGGCTGATTACGTGTAGTGCTATACATGTAGATTGAGAGAGGGGGGGCTGAGAACTGTTGCGTATAATTACTGTGTACTGAGCTGATGTGTTGATTGGTTCGGATTTGGTCGATCATTTTGAAGTTGTTGTGATAGGTTGTGGAGTTTTGTTTCTGGTTTAGTGTGAGTGATTATGGCAGATAAGAACAAAGGAGTATTGACTGAAGTCGTATCTACATCTTCTAATCGTTTGACTGAGGAAAAATTAGCTGGGATCACCAACTTTCAGCATTGGAAGAGAATTGTGGTGATAGTATTGACCGGAAGAGAGCAAAATCACCATTTGACAGGTGCACGAACTGCTGCTGATACTAAATGGGATACCATGGATGCCAGAATTCTTGGGCAAATGTGGAATTCTATGGAATCTCACGTGGCTGCCTTAGTTACACATGCCACTACTGTTAAGGATTTGTGGGATTACTTGAATGTTCTTTATTCTGGGGAAAATAATCTCTCAAGGATCTATGAAATCTCCCAAGATTTCTTTAGAGCTGACAGAAAGAATCGGTCTCTTACTCAATTTTTTGCTGATTTTAAACAAATGTATGAGGAGTTTAATCATCTTTTGCCAATTACGTCTGATGTTAAGACGATGCAGGAGCAACGAGAACAATTGGCTGTTATGGGATTTTTGGGAGCACTTGGACCAGAGTTCGATGCAGTTCGTTCACAAATTCTTGGAGGAAATAATGTGCCTTCACTAACGGAGACCTTTTCTCGGGTCTTAAGGGTTTCACGTGAGTCATCTAAGGATATATCCCCCACAGGTGATAGTTCTGCCTTGGCAGTCCAAGGAAATCGAGGTGGTGGTCAAGGTCGTGGTGGTGGTCGTAGTGGCCGTGGCTTTAATAGTGGTGGTAGTGGCCGTGGGTTCAATAGAGGCCAATCATAGTCATACGGTAGCATCTCTAGTGACAAAGGGAGTAATACCGGACTTGCACGAACATGTCATTATTGTGGTATGCCTGGACATATTCAGCGTTTTTGCTATAAGCTTCATGGAAAGCCCCCTCATTCGGCTGTCGCTAATGTAGCCAATGCAGTAGAGTTGGGTGTTTCTTCGCAGTCTTCTGAAGGAGGAACACTAATTAGAATGTCAGAAGAGGAACTTGCTAGGTACAATCAGTTCCAGATTTCTCAGCCAGTTTCCTCTTCCACAGCTACTTTTGCTCAGACAGTTAATGCAACAGCATGTCTTTCATCTACCTCTCGCCCCTGGGTCATTGATTCATGTGCTACCGATCATATGACTGGATCTTCAGGTATCTTTTCTGTCTTTCACAAGTCTTCGTCTAGTGTTACATTAGCTGATGGCTCTCTGTCCACAGTAAAAGGGATAGGCACAGTACCACTGACATCCTCCATATCTTTATCCTCTGTCATGTACCTCCCAAATTTTCCATTTAACCTTATGTCTGTTGGTCATCTTACCAAAGAATATAACTGTTCTATAACCTTCTATCCTGATTCCTGTGTTTTTCAGGATTTGAAGACGAAGAAGACGATTGGTAAAGGACATATGTCAGGGGGACTATATGTGTTTGATAATGCTACCAGTGTAGCTTGTTCAGCAGTTTCTCCACATCAAGTTCACTGTCGCTTGGGACATCCCTCTTTAGCAAGTTTGAAGAAAATTGATTCTCGGTTTCATTCTTTATCTAGTTTTGAGTGTGAGTCGTGTCAGTTTGGAAAATTGCATCGTATTAGTTATAGTCCAAGAGTCAATAAACAGGCTTCTCGGCCGTTTTCTTTAGTTCATTCTGATGTTTGGGGTCCATGTCCTACTGCTTCAAAGTTGGGTTTCAAGTACTTCGTGACTTTTGTAGATGACTATTCAAGAGCCACTTGGCTATATCTAATGAAAAGTCGTTCTGAATTATTCTCTATTTTTTGTGCGTTTGTTAATGAAGTACATACTCAATTTTCTGCTTCTGTTTGCATTCTTAGAAGTGATAATGCCAAGGAGTATTTTTCTAGAACATTCTCTAAATTCATGTCCCAACGGGGCATTCTTCATCAATCTTCTTGTTCGGATACACCACAACAAAACGGTGTAGCCGAAAGGAAGAACCGTCACTTGTTAGAAATTACTCGTTGTTTGATGTTTGAAATGAAGGTAGATAAATCCTTTTGGGCTGATGCTGTTATGACAGCATGTTATCTTATCAATCGCATGCCGTCCTCTGTTCTTAAGGGTGCCATTCCTCACTCTCTTCTTTTTCCTTCTGACCCTTTGTTTCATTTGCCACCTCGTATATTTGGTTGTGTTTGTTATATTCGTGACCATCGTCCAGGACTTTCCAAACTTGATCCTCGATCCCTTAAATGCATTTTTGTTGGGTATTCTCGTACACAGAAAGGTTACCGTTGTTATTGTCCTTCTTTGCATAAGTACTTCACCACTGCAGATGTTTCCTTTTTCGAGTCTACTGTTTATTTTGATAATTCGATGGAGACTCCTACAGTGGATGATGATTCCTTAACATATGTTATTATGGAATCAACACCCACTTCGGACTCTCCAGTTATTCCTCCACCTGTCCAGTATGTTTATAGTCGACGTCCTCGTCAGCATGTGGAGCCCCCTGCAGATGTACCTCAGCCTATCTCATCTACTTCGTCTTCTCAACCTGAGGTAAGTCGGTCACATACTGATCTCGATATTCCTATTGCTCATCGCAAAGGAGTTCGTAGTTGTACCAAACACCCTATTGCCCAGTTTGTCTCATATTCTGGTTTATCTGCTTCTTGTCGAGCTAGTCTAATGACCATTGATAATCATCCTATTCCTAAAACTGTTGCTGAAGCATTATCTAGTCCAGGCTAGAGGGCAGCTATGGAAGAGGAATTACAGGCACTGGACCAAAATCAGACTTGGGATCTTGTTCCTTTGCCTGCAGGGAAAACAGCCATTGGATGTAAGTGGGTATATACTGTTAAAGTTAACCCTGATGGTTCTCTTGCTCGTCTCAAAGCTAGACTGGTTGCTAAAGGGTATGCACAGGCTTATGGGGTTGATTATGGTGATACTTTTTCTCCGGTGGCTAAGATGACCTCCGTTCGTCTTTTGTTTTCTTTGGCTGCGTCTGCTTCTTGGCCTCTATTTCAGCTCGATGTAAAGAATGCCTTTCTTCATGGAGATTTACGGGAAGAGGTGTATATAGAGCAACCACCAGGGTTTGTTGCTCAGGGGGAGTCTGGTCATGTTTGTCGCTTAAACAAATCTTTATATGGCTTGAAACAGTCTCCCAGAGCCTGGTTTGGGAAGTTTACTGAGGTGGTACTCCAGTTTGGGTTGTGTAGATGTACTGGAGATTATTCTATGTTTTATCGAGTTTCTGGAGCTGGTCGGATATTCCTTGTAGTTTATGTGGATGATATTGTCATAACTGGAGATGATTCTACAGGGATTAAAGAGTTGAAAAGGTATTTGCAACAGCAGTTTCATACAAAGGATTTGGGTCTTCTTAGATATTTTCTGGGTATCGAAGTAGCACGGGCGAAGAAAGGTATTTATATCTCACAACGAAAATATGTTCTGGATTTGCTTACAGAGACAGGTATGCTAGGTGCTAAACCACTGGATACACCAATGGAAGTGGGCTCTAAATTGACAGCAGAAGATGGTGAGCTGTTGGATGATCCGCAGAGGTATCGAAGACTTGTTGGAAAGCTAAATTATCTGACTATCACTCGACCTGATGTTTCTTTTCCAGTGAGTGTTGTGAGTCAGTTTATGTCTTCTCCCCGTACCTCACATTAGGCTGCTGTAATCAAAATTTTGAGATACTTGAAGAAAGCTCCCGGTCGTGGTCTCATTTATCAGGATCATGGTCACAGAAGGGTGGAAGCCTTCTCAGATGCTGATTGGGCAGGATCTCCTATAGATAGGAGGTCTACATCAGGGTATTGTACCTTTGTAGGAGGAAACCTAGTATCTTGGAAGAGTAAGAAGCAAAGTGTTGTGGCTAGATCAAGTGCAGAATCAGAATACAGAGCTATGACTCAAGCTACCTGTGAGCTAGTTTGGATGCGTCAATTATTAGTTGAACTTGGATTTGAAGACCCTGCACCAATGGAGTTGTGGTGTGATAATCGAGCAGCTGTCCATATTGCCTCAAATCCAGTTTTCCATGAGCGTACCAAGCATATCGAAGTTGATTGCCACTTTGTCTGTGAGAAACTTCAAGCTAGAGTTATTTCTACTAGTCATGTTAGGACTGGTGAACAACTAGCTGATATTTTTACCAAATCTCTAGGGGGAAGTAGGATTGAGTATATTTGTAACAAGCTGGGCATGCTTGATATCCATGCTCCAGCTTGAGGGGGAGTGTTAAAGGGTATAATGGTCTTTGGGATTTTGATGTGTATATATACCGTATTTTCTGATCAATAAAAAATACATCATTATTCTACTTACAAACCCCAAATATGTTCTTTCAGAATTTTGGATTAGAGGCTTATATGCATTTCCTTGGCCTTTCACCACCTGGATCTAGTCATAGGTTGACTTTATGTTTTATCCTCTTTCATTAACTAATATCAGCTATAGGAAATAGGAAGAGGTTGATCTGGAGTCTCCCCTGCATTAGTTACTTCAACCTCTCACCGTCATGACTCAATACGCACAAAATGTATGAAGTATAGATGAACTTAGAATTTTGGAGTGTATAATGTCAAAAAGGGTCTTAAGGCAATAGTTTGGTGGTTAATTAGAATTTAGCATGCACAGCTTCTCAAACAGTTCTTCATTTTTTAGGTCATCGAGAAAATGCTAGACATGTACGAAGTATCCAAGACAAGGCAACGCAAGATTTGCTCCATGCTTCCATATCCCTTGGTTGGGTTGTTGAATGTCGCTGTAAGTTGGCCATATTTTTCCTTATTTTTCCTTTAGACAATATATTTTGCCTTTCGAAGTTCAATTTTCAAGTTGACAGTAAAAGCAGATCTCACTTTCTCCTGAAAGATGTTACCTATTTCCATTTTTCACCTTGACTTCTACGTGCTAGCTGTTTCTGATACTTTGTTTTTCTCTACAAAGTTATGTCTGTAGAGGAGCCGATGAAAGTGGGACATGAAGCTATGAGAGAAAAGTAGGATGAGGAAAAAGTCAGAGAGGCTGTTTCTTGTCTGAACATCTAGATGTTTAGCTGCTTCCTTCAATTTTAACCAAGAAATGTACTCTTAACTGCTCCTGAAATTTGAATCATCTGATTCATAGGAACAAATATTACTAATTTTAGCAAGTTGGTCTACCTAAAACTTCTTTTCTCACTAAGCAAACTTGGGGTATGGTTATAAAATCTTCCTCTGACGTAAAGGAATAGCAAGTTGTTCTTGTTCCGGAGGAACTTATTTAATCTGTGTTCCTTGGAGTTGCTGATAGTTAATACCTTCAGTTAACTATCCATCAAAGGCTTCCTCTTTTGTGTTAGATAATGAAAAATTTCCAATAAACCCTGGTACATTCAAGTATTCAGGAAGTATCAGAGTGATGTATTTTAGATACAAGTTTAACTGGAACATATAAAAGGGGGAATAAGAAAACAGAGGAAAAGAGAACTAAGTTATAGCTCCGTTTGATCTTTATTAATGATAGCTTTTAGCTTAGAGAACTGCACTTCTTGTTCCTTGGCACCACATCCGGTGCTTGTGATGTTAGAGTATTTAAATAGTAAACCACACGTTCATCTAATAGCTTAAGCTTTTAGAAGAGTTGGCAGTGGTCCTACAAAATCTTAATATGTGAAACCTTTTGACAAGTTGTGTCATAACCCTAGAAAATGTAGACAATGATATGAAGTTGGATCCAATCTCTGTTGTTTCTTGACAATGAAGCAGAAGATGATTCACAGCTTTCAATGCAAAAGCAACATTTACATGCTTTAGCAGTTTGAGGTAGTCTCACATTATAACCTGTTAATATATTGTATAAAATGGTTTCCGGACTCCCCAGAAACAAAATGAGGACTTTGGAGGGAGCTTTGACCTCCAACATAGCCTTCGTGGGAAAGAAATGTTACTCTTATTTGTCAGACCCTTTTGGTATTGTCAAACAATAAATCTTCTGTTGCTATGCCATGTAGCACAGTTCTCGGTCTGTCCCTTCTCCTCTGGTCTTGGATAACGACAGTTTCTGACAATGAGTACCAAACATGAATCTAGATGAAGTTAGGAAATTGCTGCAACACCTGCTTGCTTTTATGGTCTTGTTCCATGTGAGTTTGAGAATACAGGAATGCGTACGTAGTAGTGATCCCAGACCCTGCTTCTTCCGTAATCTGCTCCTAGAAGAGCTTGAGCGAATATTCTAAATTTTTTCCACCAAAAAAGAATTTCCTAAACATGCATTCCCTCTATACCTTTCCTCCCTGCCTCCTTCCTTCCTTAGGAGAAGGGTTCCAAATAGCATCCCACTGAACCTGGTGAAAGTTATGAGCATCTAATAGTTCCCACTCTTTCCAGAAAGGAAATCCGTTGGTGGCTTCACCTCTTCTCTTTTTTATAGACATTACAACGCATAAATGAACGTGCAGTGGAGAGCATTATCAAATGGAGATGTGGTAGTTAGTGTTGCAATAATGCTCAGCCAGGAAAAGCAGTTTAAACCAACTTGATAAGATTGTCACCATCCATGCATCTTTAATATTCCTCCAGTTATCTGTTCCATGACCTTATCAAATTATTTTAAGAAGCCGAAAATTTTGGTTAAAAACCAACTTCTACCTTTCTTTTAATTAAAAATATGAATTAGAAAATATTTTAGAGTTCAAAGAATCTAAAAAATGCAAATTTACAAGTCAACATTTGTATATTTGAAAAGGTTTCAGGTTTTTGTTGTTAAATTAAAGTCAACTTCATGCCGCGGGATTTGTAAA